GTGTGCCAGACCCTTTGCTAGGGGCTGTCACGTGAATTATCTTACTGAATCTTCAGACCAACCTATTGGTTAATTCTCACCATGCCCATTTTCCCGGTAAGAAAACTGAGGCTCAGAGAGGCAAATGACTTGTCCAAGATTCCACAGCTAGTAAGGGGCAGCTGTTCACAGCCAGATCATTTGTTTCCAGATACTGAGCTCTTAGCTACTTTCAAAATACTAGTACACTTTCTATGTTTAATCTCCTATTTTCAGTTGGGAAAGGGAACCTGGATAATCAGCAAAAGACTAGGTAACCCAGGCAGGAGGCCATGAAGGAGGGGGTGGGACTGAATAGGACCCACCCCCCCGAACTGGGTGCCCTGGAACAGGACTGTCCTCCATAAGCTGTCTCTGCCTCTGGTGTTATTTCAGCCGTCGGCTAATACAAAGAATATCCTCTTTGTTTCTGGGATGAATGAATCAGGCAGGTCAAAGTTGGGACGTTCGTGGGGCAAGATATGTGTGTGTGTTCAGAGGGATCTTGGCTTCAACTTCATCATAAAACAGCATTTATATTAAAGGTGGAGATGGGACAAAGAAGGAGGAAAAGATGGGTGGAAGGTAATCGGGCAATTATTTCACAGCTGTGACAGGTTCACTGAGTCAAGTGGGTTCATAAATTTTTACTTAACTAAATTTTTCTAATCACAAAAATAATGTGTCAAGTTTTGAAACTTTAGAAAACACAGAAGCATTCAGGACACAAAACCACATGTGCATCTATGTGCACATACTAAGTTTTACAAACTAACATCATTTTGCACATCATGGCTTGTAACTTGGTCTTTTAACCGACAATAAGCCGTATGTATCTTTATTGCCATTACATGTTCTACTACAACATCATTTTATGGCTCAAGAGTATCCTTTTTATAGATGTACCAGATCTATTAAAATTTTCAGACATTTAGATTGTTGCCAGTCTTTCACTATATGTAAATATCACATCGAATATCCTTGTAGCTCAATTTTTGCAGGCATCATTGCTTATATTCTTAAAATAAATGGCTGTAAGTAGAATGACTGCATCAGAGTCCACTCAAATTTTAGGGTTTCGATAGCTACTGACAAATTGCTCCCAGAAATGTTATGCCCATCTGCCCCCCGTCCGGCCACGGGAGTGTGTGAAAGTGCAGGCTCGCTGCATTCTTGCAGTTATGGGAGACAGAACCAGTGAATGAAGTCTGAGGCTGAGAATCAGCCAGCTCTATACCTGCTAGCTACGTGTGGCCTTAGGCGAGTTCGCTTAACCACTATTTTCTCATCTGGGTTCCTGTGAAGCTCACGGGAGATGCATCCAGAATGCTAGATAAATAGCCTGGCCCATAGTAAGTGCTCAATAAATAAAAGCTCTTCTAGACATACAGTTGTTCCTGCCCACCTCTGATGGATTATTTCTGGGAATGTACACACCAAGCCAAGGCTTCTGAAATCTCTCTCATAGCCAATACCTACTCCATCCTCCACGTCAGCCCCGAAGCGCTGCGGCTGCCACTGCTTCCCAGACGCCTTGGCTTTGTCCTTTCCTGCCCTCCCTTCTGTGCTGACTGAGGGCAAGGAGGCTCCTCAGGCCTCATGCATTACCAATTTGCTTTTTCCTGGTTGATTCTGTGGAGTGTTGCAGACCAGGGGAGAAACCCGTGAATGTGAGCCTACACTGCGTTTCTAAACCACAGCAACAGCTCTCACTTCTTGAGTGCCTGCTAGGTCCCGGGCACCATGCCAAACGCTTTACATGTATTGTCCCCTTCCATCTCACGACAGCCCCAAGAGGCTCCGAGACGGGAGGGGACATGCTCGGTGTCACACATATAGGAGGTGGCAGAGCTGGGATTGGACTCCCAGCCTGTCTGGCCTCAAAGTCTGTGCTCTTAGACCCTCTGCGTGCTGCTCTCGTCCACAGAGAAGGATTTAGTGGGGACAGTGTGTGTGTGTGTGTGTGTGCGCCAGTATGCCTGTGCACGTGTGAGGGCACACACGTGGGTGTGCCTTCATTACAGTAACGTTTAGTCAGGGCCCACTCTGTGCCAGGCACTGTGCAAGTTCCTGAGTATGTGATGGTGAACAAAAGAGAAGGGATCTCAGTCCTCTTAGAGCTTACTGGCTAGTGGGGAGGACCAATAGTGAGGGAAGGAGGGCAGGAGGGAATGGAATCACAGGTTAGGCTTATGCCACGGAGCGGTAAGCAGGGCATAGTCAGAGAGTAGCAGGCTAACACCCTGGACATTGGCAGCTCAGGGAGAGCCTCTCTGAGGGGGTGACATTGAAGTTGGTGTGTCCAGAAACTAGTCTGGAATGGGAGACGGGACCACCACGCAAGGATAGAGTGGAGGGAGGGTCCTCTGGGGTGGAAGCAAACTCTGATGCCTGGAGGTGCTTTGTAGAAGGTTCTGGGGTTCTCAGCAGTGTCTATGGGTGGCATGGGTGGTGCCTCTGGGTTTGCTTAGGACGCCAGAGAACAGCTAGCTATTTTCACCCTAAAAGGGCAGGGTGGGAAATGGAGACTTGCGCTCTCTGAACAGGACCTGGTCTTAGGACCAGAGGCCTCAAGAATGCTAGAGGCATGGATGGGACTAAGAGGCTGGGGCTACATGTTCAGAGTTGGAGTAGAGGGGATGGAAGCCTTTTGTATTCCTACTGAAAGAAAAATCCAGCCTGGGAGGGAGGGGGAGGGGCAAAATAGGAGAAAGGGATTAAGAGGTACAAGCTACTAGGCACAAAATACATAAGCTACAAGGATGTAATGTACAGCTCAGGGACTATAGGCGATATTTTATAGTAACTTTGTATGGAGTATAATCTCTAAATACACCTGAAACTAAAATAATATTGTAAGCCAATTATACTTTAATTTAAAAAAAAGACTAAAGCAGCATCCACTTCAAGACATCACAAGATAGGAGGTGGTTAACATTTCACAAACACTGCCTAGTATCACCTTGAAGGAAAAGAAAAAGAATGAGAAAAATCCAGCCTTCCCTAAGTGTCCGCAAAGAGCTCCTTGCCCGCTCTCCGTTCATTAGTGTAGGTTGGGGTTTGAGAAGGCAGCAGAGTCTTCCCTAGGGCTCCCTCATCTCCCAAGTAGCTAAGAGGGGGATCTTGGGTAAGGAAGTGTCACCAGGGCCACTTCTAGCGGTGGCAACCGGGAGCCACTCCAGCGGTCCCCAGGATAGATGGCCGTGGTTGTTGGAAGCTCTTTGCCCAAGCAACCTGGGAAAGAGGCCCACCAAAATCTAGGGTCTCTGCTCCACGGGACACCGCACCCAAGCCTGCTCTGGCCAGGTGCTTTCCCCAGGCCACCCAAGGCCCACCATTGGGTTGCTGTGAATTCAGGATTGGGCCACATACTCCAGCCAAACTGTGCTCTGGTGCACTCAGTGACCAAGTGTGACCTTGGCCAGAGGCGCGCCACCCACTCCCCTTAACGTTTCACTCAGAGAATTCTGGAAGGGAAGCAGTTCTTAAAAATTTTCAAAACACGCTGGGGCCTTGCCTTCCACTTTTCAAGTGTTCAAAACCTAGGTCCTGTGCATGAGATCTGTGAAGCCAGTTCAGATGGAAACTGCCCAGTTATCAGAGGCCACGCATTGTTTCTCATTTGTGCTTCGGACATGTTCTGTGCCCTCATTCAATACGAAGCACAAACAGTGATTAGCCTAAGTCAGCTTAATCACTCTGTTTGTGCTACACAGCGCCCTGAATTGCTACTAGCCCGCAGATAACAGTTTTCAAAAGTAACATCCATCCCCAGGAACAAATCTTCATATGCTTCCTTGCCCTTGGCTTCATTAAAAGTAGCCACCCATCGCCCATCTCTCGTGAACGCTGGGAAAAGTTGGGCAGAGTATCTGTGCCGTGTAGGTTAGGGCTTGTTTTGCTGTGGTGGTGGGTGGGACACTCCAGTATCACTGGGCTGACCTCTCAGACAAAATCCAGGCAAATTGAACATTCAGGGGCACTGGGACAGGTGCAGGAGGAGGGGGAGGGGGCCTGACAGCCACACCCACACGCCCTCTGCATTATCTTGGATAGATAAGAACCTCCAGGCTTTAAGCCCCATCTGCCAGTTCGCTCTCTCCCTCCGCCCCTCCTCCTGAGTGGGTGTTGAGAATGGGGAAAATGCCCGTCCATGTCATGGGCTGCCCGAGACTCTTGGAGAACTCTGATTCAGCAGCTGTTAGAGGCGCAATTTGAACAGTGTCTCTGAGACCAAAGGAGACTCCATCCCCACTAGCTTGTCCACAAGAACTTTGCAAGAAGAAACTGAGTTGCTGCTTGACCTTGAGCATTTCGCTTTCGCAGGAAGAGGTTCAAGCCACCACTTCCCTGCCCATCACTGATCCCTCCAGCTCAGATCCCTACTTGGCTAAGCTGCTTGGCTAACTTGGTCCAGTCTGTTAACATCCCCATGCCCCAGACCTCTCTTGAAAGTGGGGTTTCAATCCCTAGAGTTGGGTGATGTAAGCAAGTATTAAACCCTTTGTAAAGTTCTGTGGAGTCCTCCTATTCGGTGTGTTCCAAGCACCAGCTATAAAATAAAGCCAAACAACGGCAACAAACAAACACCAATCACCTTTAACCAAGTAATTCTACTTCTAGAAAAGTTTCCTTGAGGGGCTAGTTGGACAAGGGATGTACTGCCTTATGATGGGATACCTGCAGCCATTTAAAAATCTGGTGTTGGCTCTGCTCTTTGCTCTGGGAGGATGTTTGCGATATTTTAATAATGCAAAAGCGACCTTGAAAACAATATGTGATGTGAAAACAATGCATACATGAATAGAAACAAATCTTAGGAAGAAGTACACCTAAAGGTAGACAATGGCAGTCTCTAGATACTATGCTTAGAGTGATTTTTTTTACAATTAAAAAATAGTATATATTAACCAGAAATAAATTAAGCTAATTCCATTTTGAAAACAATACATAAAACTGTCTTCTAAATCTTTCCTTCCCAGATAGTGGCATGCCTCCAAATCAGTGGCGTTTCTCTTCTCAGTGGACAAAGCCACAGCCGGAAGTATCTTTTGCAAATGGTGCCGCCAGCTGCAGCTTGAGTGGATCTGGTCCCATGGCTGTGGATCAGTATCCAGTGTCCCTGACCGGGAGCCCTTCCATTCAGCCTGGCGAGCCGAGGCATTTCTCCTCCCTCGCCAGCTCCAGCTTCCCAGAGCTTGGCTACCCTCATGCCTTTTCCACTGGGCACTCGGTTCCAGAGACCCAGCCTGATGGGAAGTATGAGCCCCTCCTAAGTCTCCTCCAGCCAGAGAGATGCCTAACCCATCCTCAGGAATCTGCCTCGTGGGAGGATGGCAACTCTGCCCAGACGGCCGGAAGCATGGGATTGCTCTTCAACCTGCCTTCCGGCTCAGCCCACAGTAAGGAAATGCCTCCAGATGCTTGGAGGATTGCCTCTGATTGGTTGTGGTTGAGAGTGAGTTGGCGTGAGATGGGATGTGAGGACGACTTGCTGCCACTCCAGCTACAGGGCTTCTGAGGGATAGAATGTTTTGCTTAAGTTCCATTTGTCTTCACTAGGCTGCGTCGATAGTCACCGTTTAACGACTAAAGGGTTGCATAGATAGCCAGACAGATGCACTTGGCTCAGAGTATTCACCCTGGTCTGCTGACTTGGACTTACCCTAGAAAAATGGGCTGCTGCCTAAAATCTTAGGGTCCTGCACTCACCTCACTGTGAGCTGCCGAATAATCCATTTGTAAGACAGAACTCAGGGACATACCTACAGGCTCAAAACTCTATCCTCCAAACAGGTTGGCAACTTGCAATAATGCCAGACCCCTAGGCAAGAACAGGGGCCATCTATACCATCCATCTGCTCCACACATTAAAATTCAAAGTGACTGGAGGCAGCCCCCTTGCTGCCTGGAGAGCGTCACGGTGCCTGACTGTCTGGGGCTTCTGCTCCCAGACCCACACCCCTCCACAAACGAAAGCATCCTTAAGGCTCATTCACCATTTCATTTACTCACTCACCCGACAGATATTTAATCCTCTGGCTTTCTGTACCCTAGATGAATTTTCTTTCCAGCTCCCTGGTCCATACATATCTGGTTCTAGTGTTCCATGCCTGAAAGAAATTGCTAGAAGCTGCTTTTACTTCCGAACCAAGTATATATATTACACAAAGGGCCTGTTCAGTCTAGCCCTACCCAGGTCAGGTGCTGTGCTCCATCCTAATGTCGAAAACCAATTTCCCATTAAAATACCACTCCATCATTCCCACAGTTTGATTAGGAATGTACCTAAAGAGTAAATCATAAAAATGTCATGCTTGGGAAACCTATGAGAATTCCCACCCTAGTCCTCTTTTTCAAAAATCTGCTCCTGCTGGATTCAGAGGGACAGATGAGGCCAACTGTGTATATATGCTTGTGCACACACACAGCAGAGCCCTGTCTCAACAGATGGTTAGAACACAGATGGCTCAAATCATCACCTCCCAAACATAACAAGCCCGTGCAGTTCAAATCCAATTCAGCAAAGATTTAGTGAGCATCTACTATATGCCAGGCACATCATGGCAATGCCACCATGCAGGCATTATCCAATTCCTGAAAGTTCTAGACACATTCTCAAACAAATGTTGATCGCTAAAGTCTCGACTGCTACCAACTCTTCAGACTCTCCTACTAATGCAGATATCTGTCGGATTAATTGGTGACCGATGGTCCAGGATCTGTTGAGGAAGTCAGTGACCCTTGATCAGAGACATTGCCTGTAACATGGGAACAAAACCCACAGGGCCTTCAAAACAGAAGCTTCTCTGTTTTTGTAGTAACTGATAAAATGTCAGGTGTCTATAAATTGAGGACCAGGCGATTTGGGGTTCCCTGGGGGGCTTCTGGGCACTTTCTAACCCAGCCCCCGATTTCATTCCCAATCAGGTTTTCTATTTTCCTAGGTAAGAAAATCTATTTCCCCCCTGACGGTGGACCTGCCAGTTCCAGCCTTGCAGTTGAAAGTAAGTATCTGCTTCTGCCTTTGATAGCATGTCTCTGTATCCTGAGAACAAGCTTGTAGCATAAAAACCAGGATCTCCCACGCTCGACAGACACATCAAGGCATTTTTATGGGCATCATGACATTTGTTTCTAGTTTTTGTTCCTGAGAATTGGGCTGCCCAGACCTTTTAGTCATGTGCAATTTTGTCATCATCGTGTAGATGTGGATAAAATCTTTTCATCATGGTCAATATGTTCTTTACAAATGTAGCAATTTCTCATGGAAAACTGCCCTCCTGAGGGAACATAATAGACTTCATGGTTCCCCAGTGAAGAGGGAAGGTGCTAACTTAGCCGTGTTGCTCCAAGTACATCATTATAGTAACTGCTTCCCTTTAAGGAATAAAGAGCTGGTATTACAGCCTTAAAATGCCCTTTTAATACCAATAAAAAGACATTTTCACACTTGCTCTGTGAATAAAGTTTTTTCAGTAACTCAAAAAAAAAAAAAAAAACAAACCCAGGATCTCCAGCAATTGAAATGACCCCCATTTCTACTTAGTATTTTCATCCCTAGAATAGGTTTCATTTTGGTCTCAAAGAGCCCGTGCACTTGGTATCTTGTAAAACGTCTTGCCCATTTTCTAATTTGGCTATAAAAGCAACTCTATTGAGTTCTTTGCGCTGGATTTAAGTGAGATAACCAAGGTGACGCAGGAAAATGAACAGATTCATGAGGGCTAGCCTGCTCTTTCCCAGATGTTCAGTTTTCAGCCTAGAACATAGGGCCACCCCGGGACTCTGCAGTCAAGAGAAAATGCCACCTGATACCAAAGGCTAGGAGTCTGTCTGGGCCCACGCTCAATTTGAAAGTGATGTCAAATGAGGACAGTCTCAGGGGTTGACATGAGGATTTTCATGACCTGGTGTCGAATCCAGCAGCTTCATTACTTACTAGCTTTAGGACCTTAGCCACGTTTCTTCACCTGTCCGTACCTCAGTGGCTTCATTTATAAAGTGATGATTAAAATAACGCCCACCTCATCAGGCTTCTGTGAGGATTAATTGAAATAATACATGTAAATGCTTAGAATTGACATTCTAATGGGAATTAGCTCCAGTGAGCCCGGCACAACATAAGGCAGCAAAAAGTGCCTTTCGGGAGGGCATCCTGTGTGCCTTCAGCTGTTCTCTGCTGTGTGTTTGAGAGGCATCAAGGGAAGAGCTGCCACCACGGCCCCAGATCTCAGGCACTTTACAGTTTGGTGTGGAGTGAGGGTGAGCACGATATATAGGCCTCCCTAGGATGTCCGGTCCTTGAGGGCCGAGGCTTTGAGGGGTGAACCGCCCCATCCTTAGCACCTGCGGCAGCGCCTGGCGCAGAGGTCAGTACGTATGTGTCAGACGAATGAGTGCACAGATGCTGGAAACAATAAAAGAACATCGAAAAAGGAAATGGTAAAAATCTATCTGCCAACAGAGTACAGATTAATTTTGTTTGACACCATTTTGTAAAACAGAAACAAGCAAGGCGCAAATCACCCTCAGGGAGGAACTGGCGGTGCCCAGGTAGCGAGGCTTTGTCAGGCTTCATGGAAGGCTCTGCCTGAGGGGATGAGCTCTGCTGGCCTTCTAATGAATGATATCAGGGTTATCAAGTCTCCTAAGTACTTGTTAAGAGTTTATACATTTAAAAATTATAAGCCTTAGAATTACTAAAAACTTGATGATTTCCGTTGTTCACAGGCCCAAATTAACAGCAACACCACCTGTGGGTGATGGCTGTAGGGCAGATCCCACACACTGCATCCCGCTCAGTCCCCACAACGACCTTGTGATACGGGTATGAGGACATCCTAGGCGCCTTATACGAGAGGTAGCCAGTAAATAGGGATTGACTGACTGAATGAAGGAATGAATATGCCCACTTTATAGATGAGGAGACTGAGTCTCAAACAGGTGAAAGGCCTTACTCGCCTTAAGATCACACAGCAGCAGGCAGCAGAGGTATTCTCTCTCTGCCCTTGCCGTGTCCTACAATGATCAGCATCGAAAATTACACGAAACATAAATCATCAAAACAATTCCAACTTAAATCAAGTGTACAACAGTGAAGATTAGCAACTGGTACGGTTGTTTCACTGTATATGGGTTCACTGTCCATCTGTGGCCAGGACACCATCCTGGAATAAGAGGAGTGGGTGCAGAAGACTTGGAAAGCATGCAAAGGAGCAGTATTACCTTGAGAAAGGGCCAAGGGGATGAGCCTTCCATGCAGAGAGCAGTTGACAGGAGGTGGGGAATGGGTACCTGGCTATGCCAATAGCCCCCATCCCCATTGGCCAAGCTGCAGCTGTGGCTTTGGGCAGAGGAGGCAGCAGGGCGTGGGGACGGGGAAGTGGGGTGACTCCCTAGGTGGATAAAAGGACCAGGAAACCCCTTCAAAACCCATGCTCTTAAGAGAGCACACTGCCAGTTTCTCCATCTTGCCTGGTGCTGAGAACCACAGGGGAGCTCGTGAAATGCCCAGATTCTGTGCCATCACTTCCTGGTTGGTAGCTTTGGCGTGGGACTTGGTCGCCTCTTTATATGTTTGATTCTTGATATATTTTATATTGACCTGATTTGGGTGGGGGCTTGGTTTTTTTGGGGGGGTTTGTTTTTTGTTTTTGCCCACGCGCCTTGTGGAATCTTAGTACCCCGACCAGGGATTAAACCCAGGCCCTGGCAGTGAAAGCGCTGAGTCCTAACCACTGGACCACCAGGGAATTCCCATATATTAACCTGATTTTGAAGTGAGCTGGATGAAACTTTCAGGAAGGATTTTGGTAGTTCTGAAAGATTTCCTCTGTGAGACCCCAGATAAATATTTGTCAAAGGAAGGAAGGAAGGCCGAGTCCCCTCCTTCCCCTCCAATATGGCCTAGTCCCCTCATGGAGGTGTCCCACACCCATGAGGCAGAGACCTTGTGGAGAGAAGAGCGATCTGCTGGAAGGGTAGTTAGTTGGAGAGACCTTTCCGGAGGGGACTCCCCAAAACTGCGGTGCCGAAATTTTTAGTGAATTTGATTTTTTTAATCTGTACAAATAGACACTGATTCCTTGTACATTTCTTCAGTTTTTACAGGTAATAATAATATTGACATTGCTATTTGCCAGACACGGTGCTCTTTTATTTACATATATAAATCTCATAGTGTATAAAACTGTCTTGGTCCCTGCTCCCCAGAGAGTTAATAGTCTAGTGGGGAAGGTAGACTCCATCAAAAAAACAATAAAGAAGACAAAACAAAATATTTGCAAGTTACGGTAAGTATGAAGGAAGCATACCAAGTGTTGAAATAGAGAAAGATGGAGGCCAACTTTGGATAAAGTGGTCAAGGGAGGCTTCTGTGTGGAAGTGATGTGCAAGCAGGGACCCGAATGAAGTGAGGGATGGAGTGAGCTTTAGGAAGAGCTGGAGTGGAGATGGAGGGAGCTGCCCTGCCCAGGCCCGGAAGTGAGTGAGGAACGGGCCAGAGCCCAGCCTGGAGAG